GGGGAGCCTGCTTCTCCCTCTCTCTTTGCTGCTCCCCTCTGGTTCTGCTCCCCACCAGATAAATAAAAAATCTTACAAAAAAAAAAAAGCTTCAGACTTTCTATAGGCAGTTTTGTTTACTTCTTTTTCAGTTTTCTTTTTTATATATTTCAAGTATGATACAGATTTTTTAATAGTCTTTACAGTATACAAAACTGAAAAAGTTGACATGACAGCTTGAAATGTATCTACTGAAGCTATAATAATTTCAAGTGACTTAGTCTTTACCTGGAAGCAGTATCCTAGAGTTGAAAGCATGAAATATTGCACTAGGAAGGCTGGGCTGAAACCCAGTTCTACTACTTCTGAGGCAAGTAACTAAGTCACTATATGCCTCAATTTCTTTATTTTTATTTTTATTTATTTATGATAGTCACAGAGAGAGAGAGAGAGAGAGAGAGAGAGAGAGAGAGAGGGGCAGAGACACAGGCAGAGGGAGAAGCAGGCTCCATGCACCGGGAGCCCGACGTGGGATTCGATCCCGGGTCTCCAGGATCGCGCCCTGGGCCAAAGGCAGGCGCCAAACCGCTGCACAACCCAGGGATCCCTGCCTCAATTTCTTCATCTGAAATTTGTGAGAATAATAGCATGGTTACTATATCTTAAAAAATCTTAAAAAAAATCTTAAAAAAAGTTTACTATTTTGCAATATGCAATTTTTTTTAAGATTTTATTTCTTCATGAGAGACACACAGAGAGAGAGGCAGAGACACAGGCAGAGGGAGAAGCAGGCTCCATGCAGGGAGCCCGATGTGGGACTCGATCCCGGGACTCCAGGATCAGGAATATGCAACTTTTTAAAAAATAATCAACATATTGTTCTATGAATCTCAGACACCAACTGTGTGTCCTTTTTTTTAAATATATAAAGATTTTATTTTTTTTTTACCAGAGATACACAGAGAGAGGCAGAGACATAGGCAGAGGGAAAAGCAGGCTCCCTGTGGGGAGTCCCATGTGGGACCCGATCCTAGGATCCTAGGATCATGATCCAAGCCAAAGGCAGACGCTACCACTGACTCACCCAGGTGCCCCACCAACTGTGTGTCCTATCATTCAATTCTTTTTTTTTTTAATTTTTAAAGATTTTATTTACTTATTTGAGATAGAGCGAGAGAGTGAAAGAGAGAGCATGAGTGAGCATGAGTGAACAGAGGGAGAGGGAGAGGGAGAAGCAGCATCCCCACTGAGCAGGGAGCCTCATGTGGGGTTTGATCCCAGGACCCTGGAATCATGACCTGAGCCAAAGGCAGATGCTTAACCTTCTGATACTAGGACAAGATCTGGAAGGGTCTCCATCACAGGAACCTCTGTCCCTGTGGAGTTGGGGTGTGTCACTGCAGGTGGATACATTCACCAACTTGGAAGCTTAGCAAATCTCATTATTAAAAAGTTTTTATAGTGCTCTATATCCAGCATCTCTTCTCCTCCCTGAGGTTGGAGAGTGGGTCCAACACCAAAGGAACCAAAGGTTCCTACCCTTTGCTCTTTCAGATGACCAGCCCCATCATGGAGCCATCTAGGGGCCCCACTCTGTCACCTCATTAGCATAAATTCAGGTGTAATTGGAGGAGGCTTGTTATGATTAATGGAAGACACTCCTGTCACTCAGGAAATCCAAGGGTTTTAGGAGCTCCTTGCCAGGAACAAGGAACAACGACCAAATGTATTTCTTATTTTACCACAGTTGGAAAAGAGAGAAAATGAATTAACTGCTGTTATTTTATTTATTTAAAAAATTTTTTTTATTTATTTATGATAGTCACACACACACACACACACACACAGAGAGAGAGAGAGAGAGAGAGAGAGAGAGGCAGAAACACAGGCAGAGGGAGAAGCAGGCTCCATGCACCGGGAGCCCGTCGTGGGATTCGATCCCGGGTCTCCAGGATCGCGCCCTGAGCCAAAGGCAGGCGCCAAACCGCTGCGCCACCCAGGGATCCCTGTTATTTTTTAAACTCCTATTATTTTAAATAGTCTTTTTTTAAGATTTTATTTATTTATTCATGATAGACATAGAGAGAGAGAGAGGCAGAGACACAGGCAGAGGGAGAAGCAGGCTCCATGCAGGGAGCCTGATGTGGGATTCGATCCTGGGTCTCCAGGATGGCGCCCTGGACCAAAGGCAGGTGCCAAACCGCTGAGCCACCCAGGGATCCCCTATTTTAAATAGTCTTATCTCAAAATTTTTTGAAGCCAAGACTATGACTTCAATTGTCCTACAGTATCAACCATTGTGCCAAATAAGTAATCAATTGATAATAGTAATAGCTTGCATTCATAGAATGCTTCATAGGTTTACAAAGTTGTGTTAAATGTATTATCTTCTTTGAATCTCACATACTTGGTATGGTCATCATTTTAGAGATGACCAAACTGAGGTCCTGAGATGTTAAGTTACTTAACCAGTAAACATATCTTAGAAGCAGAAATACAATACAAACTCAGTTTTTCTGATTTGAATTCCAGCCTTTGTCTGAATACTAAAAATACTATACTGTAAGACAGGTGACTGGTTCTACGTGGCTTGGTCCTAAATCATTTAATTTCTCTGGGTCTTATCTTCTTTATCTGAGAAATGGGGTCACTAAAGGATTTCCATTTCTAAAATCTTAAGATTCTATTATCTTTAAATTCTCTTCAATTTCAAAATATCATTAGCTGTGATCCACAATAGTTGGCTTTGTCTCTGCAATGGAATGTCAACAACAGTGGAGATAATAACTATATTTTCATTTTAGAAAGGTTCCTAGAAAGCCACTAATTTAGGAAAGACACAACACTTAGTAACACTGGCAAATCCCACTGGTTTCCATTGAAAAGAAAAAGCAAACACCAAACATCTATGTTTCTAAAGAAATGTACTTAATATGTTTTACTAGTTTTGGTGAAGAATAAGTAGGGGTAATTTTGATTCCCATGACATCCCATGTGTTAAAGGAGTACTCTAAAATTAGAGGGGACATATTTGTGAAATGTTCTTGATTTCAGGAACATTTCCACCAAACATCTACTTTTTCTTAAACCATTAACATTTCTTTTAGAAATTATTAAAATCTGCACAACTTTCTTCCCTTTTCTATTTCAGGAGATAAAAAGCAGATAAATAGACTGGAATACTACTTCTTAACCTTCCACAAGAGAGATTATTGGATAAACTGAGAAATAACAAGAGTCAGGCATCCGAGGGGAGGTTAAGCTAGTAGGAAAATTCCACTGTTTTCCAACATTGAGATTCTACAACTTCATTGTTTACCCCACCCTAAAATTCATGGCTCCCAGTTATATGAGATGTTTATGACGCACTTTATAAAGTCTCTAAATTCAAAATATTAATTGAATTAATCATCTCCACGTTTGTTAAAAAGCTTTTTTTTCTTCTTTTAAGAGTGTTTATATACAAAGTTCTTTGGAACACAAGGCCCAATCTGAAGCATGATAGGCCTCAAACACATAATGTCACAAACTATTCATTTGCCTACATTTTTGCAGGTATATCACTGAATGCAGTAATTACTCTTTGTAGCAGCAACATTTTGTAATCCTTTTTCAGATTGCTATACTTAGTCAAATATTTATTAAGTGTACTATATTTCATGCAGTATGTTAATCATTTACTTTCACAGAATTCTTAAAATAAAAAAGGCCCGTCACTGCATTTTGGTTAACCTAACCCTTTTGTAATGCAATAAAAGGCACTTCCTTTATTCCTCAAGCAATAAAAATCTCGTTAATTCATTTTTCTGAACTCCAAGTTGTAGAGATATCAAATATAAGAAACTGTGTGTGTGTTTCTTTTTTTACAACCTATTTTTCAAAGAAGAAAATAATGTGATTATGCTGCAGCGACATTGACAAATTTTTTTTTTTTTTTTTTTTTTTTTTTTAAAACACCACCTTCAGGCGCCTGGGTGGCTGAGTTAGTTAAGCATCTGCCCTTTGCCTTTGGCTCAGATGATGATCTGAGTCCTTGGTAGAGCAGCATCAGGCTCCCCGCTCAGCGAGAAGCCTGCGCCTCCCTCCTCCGCTCCTCCCCGCACTCACGGTCTCTCTCTTTCTCTCAAATAAATAAATAAAATCCTACGAAAAATCTCAAAAGCAAGGTTTACTCATTAACTAGGAAGAATAAATACAGGAAGATTTCAACAGAGGAGAACTTACAAGCACTGAAATTAATTTGACTTTCTGCACAGTCCCAGGAAGCAGACCAGCATCAAAAAAGGTCGAAGTTACGGGAAAGTAGTTGTTAGCTCAAAACAAAATAACCCCTTCTCCCAAACAACTTTTCAGATAGTTGAGAAAAGCTGGTTTGAATACCGAAACAGCTGCTCTCAGGGCTACTCGCCTGTGTGCTGTAAAAGAGACTGAAGCGCGGAGGGAAGGTTGGGTCACTACATAAAGTATCTGTCAACATGAATTCCTTACAATGAGTTCTTTCTGAATTCAAGAAGCAGGGTGGTTAAGGTTGGGATTCTCGCTTTTTTTTTTTTTTTTTTTTTCTTTCCAGGACGACACAGCCCTGGAAAAGAGCTCGCAATGATCTGCTGTCCCAACACATTTGGACGAATCACCGCAGGACCTCCCCTTAGAAAAGGAAACTTTCCTGGAATGCTCCCTTCTTACCGCAAGGAGGGAGAGAATTAGGACTCGGAGGACAGGGCGGCGCACTCTCTCTCAGGAGAGGGAGCGGGGAGGGCAGTTCCCAGTGAGACCCCACACTGCTCGGAGGTGGAAGGGAAAGGAGGGGCCGCGCTGGAGCAGGTGAAGGGTGGGGAACGGAGCGCCGGCGTCTCAGGGCACGCCTGCCGACCGGCCGGTACGCGTCCGCCGCCGAGGGAGCCAGCAGCCCGCGGGCACGCGGGCTGTAGAAGTCGAGAGGCCGGGCGCCCGCACAGCACGCATGCGCGGGCTCCGCGCCGCCGTCACCGTGCGGGTCAGCCGTCCCGCTCTCGCCCGGCGCCGGACTGCGGGCGCCTCCCGCTCCAGAGAAGCGGCCGGACTCACGCTCTCCCCCTCCCCGCGGCCCAAACCCCGGAGGCCGGGTCAGGCCCGCGGGGGCCACGACGCCGGCGTCGACGGCGGCTGCGACGGCCTCTGGGAGCGCGTGAGGCTCTGGGGTCGCTGCGGCGATTGGCCGGCCGCGGCGCCCGCTCCCATAATGCAGCGCATGGCGCGTCATTGAAGAGAGACCATGATGGCGGCGGCGCTTGGGCCCCCAGAAGTGATCGCTCAGCTGGAGAACGCGGCCAAAGTTCTGATGGTGAGTACACCGCTACCCCCGCACCCCGGCATCTGCGGGCCTCGGGTCGGCCCCGCCGTGCCAGGGCTTCTCGCCCACTGGGCTGGCGACCGGCAAGGGTCTCCGGGGAGCCCTGGAAGTGGAGGAGGTGGCGGTGGCGTGGCGTAGGATTCTCCATCCTACTTTCCTCCTGCCTGCGTTCCCCGCTCTTCCCCAGAGGTGTCTGGTACACCGGCCGGGCGACAGAATATGGTGCTGAAGGAAGGAGGGCTACCTGTGCCACGGTCTTCACCGTACAACCTGCCCCGCAGACGGGGTCGAGAGCGAGGCGCGGGGAGTGAGGTCCGGGTCACCCCCGGAGGGCTTTGGTCGGGGGCCGTGTGCGCCGCTGGGGAGTCGGTGCTGGGAGGGAAGGCATGGGCCACCCCAGATGCTGTTAGCAACTCTTGTTCCCTTCGAGCATGCGGGTCCTTAAGCTCTTTCTCTGACCCGCAGCCACCTCTGGGTAACCGCAGCCTCCAGCACGTGGAAGGACCGGCTGGACGGAGGGAGGGGAATCTTTGGGACCAAGGTCATTGGGGCAAAACTTTAGTAAAGTACCAAGCTCCCTGCGGGTCGCACTTTAAGGAGAGCTAAATCAGAGGTGCTCGTTGACTTCGTTCTTAACACTATATAGTGAACAGTTTGATGAATGTTATTTACCCAGGGAGTTTGAGAAGGCTGAGTAAAAGGATCTAAAAAAGTATTCCACACAGGGAGTAGAAGTAAGAATAAACTATATTCAGTTTGTATCTTCTGGCTCAGCTTGGTTTTTGTAAATTTTGATTTCCGCGTTTGTGTGTGTGTGTGTGTGTGTGTGTGTGTATTTTTTATTTGTTATTTTTTTTTAATTAGAGGCTCGGTTGGTTGCTTCAATTGATCCAGCCTTTGTAAGAATCGAGTACAGCTAACTTCGTTACTTTTTTGGACTTTTTTCTTTACCTTTTGGTTCGGTGCTTGGAGTATATGTTCGAGCATCACGTTTAAAAGTATTTGAACAAAGTCCAGCAGTACTGTAGTTCGACTTAGCAAGTTTTGTTTTCACGCACAACACCAGATAGCTCATGAAATTTAGCTAACGAAATTGAGAAGTCTAATACAATCAGGGTTACTTGCTTCATTATGAGCAAAGCTAAGTGAATCATTTTGTCACAAAACTGAGTAAAGTTTTCAGACTCTTCCAGTTAAGTCCAGGAAAAACTAGTTAATATTCTCCTTAATACAGGTTCGTGAAATGCCTGACACGGTATTTCCTGAAATATCTAAAAAATTTCTGGGAGCCAGGGACTCTGGAGGGAGTATGTAACCCCAAAAAACTCTACCTTAGTTCTTATACTGATAATGTAAAGTTCGTGTCTTTCCTTTCCAGCCTGAATATTAATTAGCATTTATGTTTACCAGTACTGTCCCTCTTCCCTGGCAAAGCTGGTTTTATGTTCTGTAAGAGAGTAGCTGAGAAGAATAGAAATAGGTACTGTTTATTGAGTGCCTACTACACCCAGATACTTGACTAATTCTTGTAACAGCTTTACACCGTTGAGAGAGTGTAAGTGGCCTGGGTTACATAATTACTAAGTTGATTTAGGTTCAGAACCCAGATCTATCGGGCTCTAAAGCTGGTCTCTTTCCACTCTACCTCACCACCTTGTATATGTTGTATAGATATCCATTTACATACTTTTTAATCTTCCCAGAGAATAGTATTGGAAAAAATGTTATTAAAACTAGGAATTTTGTTTTTGGAAGTTTTCACATATTATTCACAAACGTATGACGCAAATGTGTAAGTAATAATTACTATATTATTTCTCAGTATGAAAGTTGTATTCCAATTTATTATTAGTAATAGCAGCTCACATTTAAAGTGCTTACTATGTTGAAGGCACTATGCCAGGTGCTTTACGTATGTTATCTTATTTAATTCTTACCATGAGGTGATTATTATTACTTTCATTTTCATTTTATAGACTAAAGGGGTGAAACATGTAAATGCTAAGTAATTTACCCAAATTTGCAAGGAAAGTGGTAGAGTGGGGGACTCCAATTCAGGTCTCTGTGTTACCAGTTTGTGGCTCTTAACCTAAAGGATAGTGGAACTAGAAAGTAAATTAATTCATTTGGGAATAGTTAAGATTGTTAAATCTTCAATTATTAAGCAATAGGATATTTTTTAAGATGTTGAATGATTTTGGCATTTATCCATTTGTGGGTCAGATGGATATCCATCTGAGGAAATAACATTCATAGGAAGTTGTTAAATATTTTAGTTAATATGTTTTGAGATTCACAGTAATTAAAGATGTATTTCATAGTCATTTTGCTTAGTTATCCATTTTGGTGTGCATATAATTCTTTAATGAAATTTGGCATAGAGTTTTAGCGTGTAGAATAATTGCAGGACATCTTTTAGTACAGAGGTCTTAGAGAGTCCACAATGATCTCAGAAGGAAATTGTAAGCAATTTTTTTTTTGTTGCAACATACATTTTTTGGTAATAGGGTTTATAGCTTTTATCAGCTTTTCTAAGAAAGTAGAGACCCTGAAAAATAAGAACCTAGTCTAAGCATTCTCCCTTCCATTCTACAGATGGGGAAACTGAGGTTCAAAGAGGTAGAAGTGACTTGCCGAAGGTAGGTCACAGATCAAATTAGTGATAAGAGTGATCCAGAACCTAGATCACCAGACTCCTATTTTGGAACTTTAAAAAATTTTTACTCAGCCATGTTGCTTCTCAAAGTCAACATAGTATAATACCATAAATGTTATATTTTATTGCTTGATAAGAAATTTTGAAATGTGTTTTGGGATATTGCAATTGCTTCATTGTAAACATCTATATTCAGGCCTACTTAGGGTTATTGGATAAGCTGCCAAATAGTGTATTAGACCTTTAGAATGAAAGAGCTATTTATTGATTTAATAGATCTCAACTTAAAGAGTGATTCCCCCCCCAACCCCCCCAGCCCCCCACCTCAGGTAGTTACAGGGAGTATTTTCTGTAGATGCTTGCAAATACTGCTTTAATCTTCTGATTCAAGACAATAAGTTACTTGCTAGAAAACAAATTTGAAGGTGAACAAACTAGAATGAGGATAGACTCTTGTAGGTTAGCAGCTGTGCAAGTAAGGTTACCTATTCTGAAAGCATTGTGCAGATGGAAAATTATTTAAATAGGTCCTGAATATTTCTTCTGCAGAAAAGATGACAGTTACTGGCTTTTGCTTAATATACCTAAAACCGTAAGTTTTTGAGAATTTATTAAAGGTATACTAGAGTAAGTTAAGTCTTCCACACTTCTGTGCTAACATTCTTAATCAGTGAGAGTCTTTTCTCTGAGTGTATGAATTTAGCAGGTTACATTACAGACTTGAAAATTTGGTGTTGTAGATACATTTTCTATTCTTTAAAACTATAGCAGTAATATTGGAACATATTATTTTAAAATACAGCAACAGCACACAAAGACACGGAATAAAAAGTGAATCTCCATCTTTTTTCCCCCACTCTCAGTCCCCCTCCCTAAGCAATCTGTATTGTTTGAATATACCTTTTTTCCTGTGCTTTTATAATATACATTATATAGTTTTTCTTTTTTCTTTTTGCATGAATGAGAACACTGTAAATATCCTTAATTTGCAAAAATTAAAAAAATCTTTAAAATACTGCAAATACCTTTCTGAATAGTAAGAAATTCAAGCTGTGTATAGGGGGAAAGTAAAAGTTCCCTAAGCTCCCATTCCCTTTTCATTTTTTTTTTTAATTTTATTTATTTATTCATGAGAGACCCACAGAGAGAGAGACACACAGACACAGGCAGAGGAAGAAGCAGGGCCCATGCAGGGAGCCTGATGTGGGGCTCGATCCTGGGTCTCCAGGATCATACCCCTGGGCAGAAGGAGGTGCTAAACCGCTGAGCCACCCGGGCTGCCTGATCCCATTCCCTCTTCAAATGTGACTGTTTCTTGAGTACACATTTTAAAAATCTCTAGGTGGGGTCCCTGGGTGGCACAGTTGGTTAAGCATCCCACTCTTGATTTCAGCTCAGGTCGTGATCTCAGGATTGTGAGATTGAGCCCTGAGTTGGCCTCCATGCTCAGTGTGGAGTCCGCTTGAGATTCTCTTTCCCTCTCCCTCTGCCCTGTGTGTGTGCACACATGTGCATGTGCGCGCTCTCTCTTTCTCTCTCTCTCACTCTCTCACTCGCTCTCTCTCAAATAATCTTTTTTTTTTTTTTAAAGATTTTATTTATTTATTCATGAGAGACACAGAGAAAGAGGCAGAAACATAGACAGAGGGAGAAGCAGGCTCCCTGCGGGGAACCTGATGCAGTACTTGATCCCAGGACCCTTGGATCACAACCTGAGCCAAAGGCAGATGCTCAACCACTGAGCCACCCAGGTGCCCCTCAAATAATAAATCTTAAAAAAAATCTCTAGGCGTATAAGAGCATATATACATCATTTTTATTTTTTATTTTATTTTTTCATTTGTTTGGTTTCTTTTTCACCATGTATTTATTTGTGGGTAATTATAAATCAATAGGACCAGAACAAAACTAACATAGCCTCTACAATGCTGATAGCAATTTCATGTTTATAAAGATATTCAACATAGAGAGCTGGTAGTAGGCCCCAGAGTTAACAAAACCACATCTGAATCCCACAGAGATTGTCCCTCCCTCGCAGCTGAGACCAAGAGGTGACAGGGACCTTGTTTTGAGACTGCATAACTGCTACCCCCAAACCCCCACCAAAGAAGTACACTCATCATTTTTAAAATGTATTTTTTGTACATAAATGAAATTGTATAATCCATATTTTCCTGTGCTTTTCTTTGTTCACCTCATTGTGGATAAATTTTAAAGGAAGTTTGTTTCCATTTTGTATGTGTGCATGAATAGATATAAAATATAGGATGTGTTTTGATTTTAGAGACGTCATAGTGGAAAAGTTTAGTGTTCTTTTAGTATTAATATCATATTA